GTATAAAGATAACCTTCGATTCAGCAATAATATTACTCACCAATCATGGTTGAATTTAACAGATTGTTTACCGATTCCATTAATACCATGACATACGGTACCTTAATTAACTTGTGCAATGAATACAAAAATTTCGAGTTTTACGAAGGTACGCCGTTGACACTCTAACGAAATTTACCACCTGGACACGTATATTTAACGCCTTTTTGTATATCACCTTGTAGGCGCTGTTGAGCTATTGTTGAAGGCTGCACATACTATGGAGCACGTAACTGAAAAACGCAAGTCGATTCTTGATAACGTTATTGAAACCTTACGAGATGCTGGTGTCTTTAACGAAGGAGTTTCCCGTAATTCATCCGATTTTCAATTACTCGTTGTATCTCTCATGATTTTTTCTTTACGTCGCTCATGTAGAACCTAAATCCTTACAAATCATGAATTCAGGTCACGCGCAAAAATTTAATCCCGTTCTTCACAAGGCACTAGAACTTGGGTTAAGCTTGAAAGATATAGATTTTCTTTTCGCAGTGTATGACGAATTTTTACGAGCCGATTCCGTTCCACAACTATTTGACGTAAAATTTCTACCTTTATTCGAGTCGAGTGCTTCGCAATTATTTGATCCGCTAAATCAATTTTTTCCATGCTTTAGCCGGCGGCACCCTACATTGAAGATTACCTTACTCATTCAAAAGACTTATCTTCGCCGGAAGTAAGGAAGAAATTGGACCTGTATTGTGATTATTGCGTGAAGCGTCATGAATACCTTAAAGCGGCCGAAGTGAAAGATTATATAGCCCAGAATTCAGGGTAACTGACGTTAACGATTCCTCGTGAACATTTATTTTTTTCGTTGCCTAACACCCTTTTTATTTCAGGGGAGATGTTACTTTACAAGAGCGGTTGCATTACCTCTCCCATGCCGTAGGGCAAGCTGAAAGTGCCAAAGAATTCAGCGAGAATGCCAAAGTGATTGAGGCGTTAAATAAATATCGTCTTAAAATGAAGGTAATTCACTTTTCCGCATTTCGCGTCCTTGGTGAGATAACGAATAGCTCGTTAAGCGATTTATCCCATGATCCTTTTGTCAGATCGCACAAATACAATTCGAAATTTATACAGATATAAATAGTATGCCCGAAAACGTTTACAGCAACTTTGCGACATCGCAGGGGATACCTAGCAGGGATGAAGTACTTGCGCTTCTTAATCAAAAGCTCTATGATTCTCACATTGTAAGGGATACATTAAATTTCGCATGTTTGTACTTTGCCTCTGAACGTTACTTACTTATAATTGTCGGGTGTAATCTCTTTTTTTTTTCTCAAGCTCTTGAACGATTTTATCCACCCGTTTGACCTGTATGAAAAGAAGTTAGCCTTGTTACAGATCGTGGAAGAAGCCCCCTATCAAACCGAAATAGTAAATGTCTGGGAAAATATAATACAAAAAGGCATTTATCATTGATTTTCTTGTACAAGATTTATAAATGTTTCAATGAAATTAATCATTTTTGATTCATTAATTGTTTTTTTTTGTTTTTTTTTTTTTAAAGCTATACAAAAATCAGATCAAACCAACTCTATTCAGCCGATAGCCGATGTACTTGTAAAAGCCGGTCGAAAGTATTACCCCAGCGACACGCGCATGATGCCATTAGGTAAGCGATACTGATGGCAAAAGATTTTGGTACAAGAAGGTTTCTAACCTTACTTTATGCATGTGACATCTTATTCTAGACAAGATCATTATCGCGATATCGAAATACTTTATTGAGAACGAAATAACAGATCCTGGTATTATCACAAAGATTCTAAGGCAGGCAAATATAAATTATGCCGTCTTGTTTGAAACCGTTAAACACGTCTTGAATAATAGATCGGTAAGGTTGAAACGATTCTTTTTTTTTTCATGTGTTGTTGCACGTTTATTATACAAGACCTTTTTTTTTTTTTTTTTGAATTTAGAACGAAACGTTATATACAAGGGACGGGATGCGATTTTTATTCCGAGAACTTTGTTTTATACTTGACGAATGGATAAAAACCAGCGGGGAAGTGTATGTATTATT